GCTTTTGTCAATGTTTGTTGCCAATACTTCTGTAGAGGTCTTATTATTATTCAGTCGCAGTGCTCTCGTACTGTTCACCTGTCGGAAATTCTCAGTCAAATGGAGAGTCATTACTTTTGCCCTAGTGGCCTAAAGATACTTTCTAGGAACTGGCTTATTCGTTAAGGCTACTACTGGGATTAAAACCCGTACAGTATCCTGCACTGAATATCGCTTTACTCCTTTCTCAGTTGTTTCACGAAAATTATTGGATCCACACCAATTTTGTTCCCCGTCAGGTGAGAGCTTTTTCCGGAAATCCCTGCAACGGTTCAAGAGAAGCTGAAACTACCATGCATGAGACATCCCGCCCGCGGCACTGCTGAGTAAAAGGACTAATGAATCAATTCTGACTGATAGTTATAATCAATTCCTTATCCAGCAGGTTTAACGCGGTAAGAATTTAGCTTTGAACAAGACCAACTCGGAGGTTTGCGTTCGAAGAAGCCGAAAAGCTCATTAGGTTTGGCGAAGGTAGCTTATGGAATCGAGAATATTAGTAAGCTAGAAGGTCATTTAAAGGTTTTAGGCTTGCGTTTTAACAAGGAAACACATTCTTATGAGTGAAATCTAATTAAAGAAGGAAAGAGAAGGAAAAAATTGGGGCTTAATTTATCTCGTGATATTATTAACTATTTTTCCTGGTCTTGTATTTCGCGCGCGCAGTGTTGATGTAAACATGCGAAAAAGCTTTTACTCTCCGTGGTAGGCGTTACTTAACTTCAGTAAGTTATGTGTGACGCTTTGATATTCGAAGAGGATCGAATTCTGTTGTTTTATGATGAATTAAGATTCAAAGATAGGAGTTTAGGGGTGTTCAAGAATGCTGAATTATTGCGTTACTCTTTCCCAGTTTGCCAAACATTTATTCTAATCGCGTGCTAAGCCAATGACAGACTTTGCTGTAAAATTAACACGGCTTAATACAGTTCTAAAATAAATGACAGCAGAACTTATCTTGACATTCTAGGAAAATATTGACTTTGATCTCGAAAACTGAGAAGTTTTACTGTGCGTGTGACGGGCACTCAGAATACTCCAGAGCCTGTCCTCCTTGATTTTGTAAACAGTCTTCAACAGTTTATAGCGACACAAATATTCAGCAAATTTCCTACCGTACTTACAGGATTGTGATTTTAAGTGACTGGCGAAAAGTAGAAAAGCTAAAAAGGGAAAACACTTCATCGTTTGCCGGTTTATTTTCCCACGGTATATTCGATCCATATTTACATTTCTTGAATGGAAAAAATACCCAAGCTATTGATTCTAAATTGAGCCTAAGTGATTGTCTTGTGTTGTGATCTGTTTTCTGCTGTTTTAAGAAAGCGATAAAGTAAAACAGGCATCAGATCAAACAAACAGCCTAATCTATTTCTAGACTGCAATCTTCTTAACGCCTTAAGAACGATTTAGAAAAATCTATTATAATACATGGCTGGGATCAAAAACAATCGACTGAAAATAGGACTTTCAAAACAGGCCAGAGGTATCCGGATGAACGAAACCAAAATTTAGTGAGTCGCAGGTCCCTTTTTGTTCTTCACAAAATGTAAATATTTACTGAACAGTTGAGTAAAGCTATTGATTATGACTAGCTGTGGGAACATTTATGCGTGATTTTCCCACGGTAGAACTGCGTTTACTTCACTCCGATCGCGTTAGCACTCTTAAGTTTATTCAGCGGATGAAAAATAGCACCAGAGTTAAACAACTCGACCCCTGCAGTAGTGTGTGAGGCAAGTACAAGGTCAGTTTATGCACAGCTAAGGCAACACAGTCCAAAAACTATGTTGTTTATAATTTGCGTGTTACGGATTTTGTGCTCTATCGATTCTTGAAAAAGGCCTCTTTTTTCACAGCTTGACTTGATGGTTCTTTATGCTCACCTAAGCTTGATTTCGTGGGCTTTACAACAAAACGTGACTTAATAACAACGGCATGTTGCTTAGGCGACCGAAGTATTTAAGATTTTTGCGAAAATTTTAGAAATTGATGTGAGAAAATAATCCAGTGGTCAAATATGCGTTTCAAAATGCTTTGGTCCTGATCTTGATCTTCGTGGACGTGCTTTTGTAAAGCAGGCTTTGGGTAAGATCCAGAAAACATAGCTGCAGTGTGGTCACCCTCTATTTATAGATATGTGAAGTCAGGAAAGATAAATTCAACGATCTCAGTATTACATTTGGGTGTTCTGTAGTGCTAAACTGCTTTGTAGTGTTTGTCATAGGAATTAAAAGTGGAAGTGGATTGAGTTTGTTAAAATGTTTGAATTGCGTGCGGGCGTTTTCAAAGCTAGCTGTATGATGTCTTTCACTTTCCTCTTCTCCTTTCACCTGGCCCCAAATCGTCCAGTAGCATTCTCAATTCCCTTACTTTATGAGATTAAAAAAAAAAAAGCTGACAGTGTTTAGCTAGACTGTCCAACACCGGTATTCCAGAATGACTTTTCTCCCAGATCACACTGCTATTTTTAGGACAACTATGTGAGACGAATATAATATACAAAAATAAGGAGATTGAAGATGAACTAAGTGACTGATCTAGAAAGCTGGAAGTTCGTCAAGGAAGGATTACTAAAGCTCTGTTCCTGAGACAGATTAAATCGTGATCGCTTGGAATTTGCGACAGATTTCATTTTGCCTTGCATTCCTTTTGGCGGTGCTCTCTGTGTGCTGTACTGAGACTGACATTATGGACTGACTGATTCTAGCTTGGATTAGTTGGGGTTGAATTTAAGCTCTACCTGTCCCCTTTTTGTGTGTATAAATCAAAACCCTCGCACTGTTTTCTAGCCCCAATTCTTTACTATATTTGTGTTGATCTAATTCCCCTTGATGACGTTAAGTATTTTGTTTTCTTGCTCATATATCCGTCTAAAAAAATTTCGATATTTCCTCATAAACTGTTTTTTAACAAAAATCAGTGACAGCAGTGTAAAAGTATCTGGAAAATGCAGGAAATCCTATGAACTTCATTTCGGCGTTGACTTCTGGGGAAATTTGGAACAAAATCAAGCAGAAATCACCTGAGAACTCGTTTGCCCTAACTTAAACGTGTTGGGACAAGAATCGCTTGCAAAATGAGAATAGTCTCTACGTTCACATCATCACCACAGCTACTGTTAGCCAGGTGTTAAACGGAAAAACTCGATCATCGGAAGGAAACTTTTACTTATCCAAATACAGCAGCAGTCAGCACCATGCTCTTGACCCCTGAACCTTTTCTTTGTCTATTGCTAACACTTTTAATAATTACTTGCTGTGTTCCGTGCGCTGTCAAAATGGGACATTGTTTCGGCGTGATACGGATACTAATACCTTATTCGATGACATGACAGCCCAGTCGTGAACCTACGCAGGTAGCTGACGCAAAACGCATTTCAGCTTTTAACAACCCTTCAGAAAAGTTGCGAAACATCCCTAAGTGAAATTTTTTCGAAAATTCCTGGTTAAAATTTTTGACTGGGAATATCAGTATTTCTTTCCGGCGTAGTTTGTAGTCTTACATCACACGTTTTGTATTCTAAGAGTATTTGCCTTTGTTAGGAACGGGATTTGACAGAAAAAGATACTATTTTCGGCTTTATATTTTTAGTTCCGACCTTTGCAAGTTCAACGGCCCAAGTTTTAATTACTGGCGCTATAGCCGATTTAAGAGTGACATCTTCGGTATGAAAACACGCCCAAAAGTGGTTTGATAATTTTCAGAAGCAAATACCCTATGTAGAAGATCATTGTCTATTTTTTTTATAAAATTAAAAATCATGTTTTTAACGCCTTCAGGAATCTATGGCGCTACCTAGCACAAACGGAGTGATAAGAATCTGACAATCCGTCCATAAGTCAATCAGCGAACCATGAGTGCTGACTGCGAGTTATGCTAATCTACTATTCATTATCTCGGTAGATAAGCTCTCGGTCGGTCACGCCTACTGAAAGTGTCAGAAAACCGCCGAATCATACCCCACAGATTCTCCGCTCACATCGTGTCCTGCGTCAGATAGTCTCATTGGCTCTGATTATTTTCAGCCAATATCAAAAGCCGATTTCGTGATGAGTCTATTAAATTCCCGGGTGTTCAATAATCTTCTGTCTGCCTGATTCAGGTTTTTCAGATCTGGTGGTGTGACACTTTGAGACTTGAATTTGTCACCTTTGTTTTCTTTTGCATAAAGCGACAGTAATAGTTCAAGTTCTTGTTTTTTCAGGGTTTTCCCTGTAAATTCATCCTTTAGGGCCCAAATCATATCTCCAATAAATTCATCACACAGTCGCTAAAAGAATCGGCTATGACATTAAAGACCGATGTACCCCACATGTTACGGGTATTCACTTCTGTCCAATGCAGTATTTCCAGATGGCTCCCTATTGTCCCATTTCGGGACAAACCTAACCAAACAAAAAACACCAGCGCACACTTAACCCAATTTGCGGTAACTACTCTCGCAAATTCTAGTCTGGAATGATTGCGCTTAGTTCGAAATAACACGCATGGTTTTACGCTTTGTGAAGTGCCCCGTTACAAGCAATTAGTACACTTCCCTTGTGGCGTGTCGCTCTTGCGCCAATGATTTCTGGCTACGCGTATCATAAGCTGAACAATTGCTACTTGTTGATATGGTGTTGACAGCAGAAATAATGCAATTGGGTGGAAAAGTAAAAGGGCAATGAAACGGTAGCTCTGCTCAGCTAATGGACTGTTAAGCTGTGTGTGTGGCCCGAGATAGCAACACTCACTGCGATTGGCTGGCGCGCTTAAAATTGCATAACCGGCCTGCTACATAACTGGGTGTAATTCGATCAAGAGGTGACAAACGAATTTACATCTTATTACAGTGTGTCTATTTTGTGCGCGTGACTCGTGCAAAGAGCAGATATCAATCAAAGTGCATGCAAGGACGCTTTTATCAAATCATTTACGACCAGGTTCAAAGCGGGCATAGTTTTTGAGCCGTGATGTCCATGTATCCATATCCAGCCAACTCGCCTGCCACAAACAACAACATGATCACGCCGATGTACGGAAATCAAGGCTACGAATTTTATCGGCCCACCGCGTCTCATTACTCGTCCGTTCATTTCCCTGTTTATCCCGCACACGGACAATATCAAGCGAGGCAAGATCGCCTCTATCCTCCTATTCCACGCACTCAACATGTGCCGCATCAAAGACACGAGATGGTAAAGCCGCCATACTCTTACATCGCGCTTATTGCTATGGCAATTCAGAGTGCACCAGAGAAGAAAATAACACTTAGTGGAATATATCAATTTATCATGGACAGATTTCCGTATTATAGAGAGAATAAACAAGGCTGGCAAAACTCAATCCGACACAATCTTTCTTTAAACGAGTGCTTCGTCAAAGTGCCAAGGGATGATAAGAAACCGGGCAAAGGAAGTTTCTGGAGTTTGGATCCCGAGAGTTTGAACATGTTCGAGAATGGAAGCTACCTGCGAAGACGAAAACGCTTCAGAAAGAAGGATAAAACAACGTCAGAAAGCAGCAACAACACCGAGAATCAAGACAAAAAGGAGCATAGCACTTCCGCCGACACAAAGACAACAAGCTCTGAAAACTCAACAACAACTTCCGCTGCGCAAGAAAAGGCTAAAGAGCATGAGACGCTAACAAGTAGTACACAGATAGCTCGGGCAGAATCCTTAGAGTCTACCGCAAAATCAGAGAGTAAAGTAACGCCCGCCACAAAGGCCAGCCCACCATCCTGCAAGCGTGAGTGCATGGTTAACTCTGAAGAGGGAGACATTGCATCGAGTAATTCGCCTGGTGAGATCAGTGAAGCGCCACAGGCTTCCACTCCACCTTCCTTCCCTACAGTTCCTCCGTGCACCATTTACGAGAATGCGTACGGGTTGAACTACCCCTCCTATCACCAAAACGGGCAACAAGGCAGCTACTCGAGCGCACCGTACGCAGCCTGCCACTCTCCCTCCTACACCAGTTCAAACACACCCAATGGCCGGGCTTACGTTCACCGATACGAGCCTCAGATGAGCCCTGAGCACCCAGCCGTTGTTCCTGGCCGCTACTCACCGCATTTGAGCCATTACAGTCAGCAAGCCACACAAAACCAACACGTAGAGGAGGTCCAAGTACACCGGCAACAATACGCTGCAGATTATGAACCTCCAGCTAGAGCGGGCCAGTGGTACTCATCAACGAGCTACCACAGTAATGAGTCGTCTGTCTCCAGCGCCCATAACTGCTTCCCGAATGTACGCGAGATGTTTGAATCGCAGCGTCTGATCGCTCCTAGTGGTGGACAGACAGTGCCGGTCATGCAAGCAACTCAAGGTCAGTTTGGATCTTCTAATGCTGCTTATCACTCAACTGCGGCATCCGTGCCTCAGTACACTCTTTAATCTTTGATCTCCTCACTGAACTAAGACTATTTTAGGACAAGACATTGTGGAAGGGTTCAGAGCCTTTATGGAAATGTATAGTGTTCTTTCGTTTTTCTGTACTTTTTGCTTTGTTGGGAATGGATACTCAACTCAGATGTAAAGAGAGAGAGACTTAATTTTTTAGGCACGACAAGAATATATTTTACCAAGTTTTATACAATTCGTAGTTGTACCCCAAGCGTTATTCGGGGTTTCCGCGATTTTTAAGTTTCATTTTAAGCGCCAAGTTGTTTGACAATTGATTTTTGTACCGGTGTAGTTTGTTTGTAGTGAGGCTTAGGAGCAACAAGCGTTGTTTTCTTTCAACTCGCCCTCCACAAGTGTTTCACTGTATGTCGCCCACAATGCTCACAGTATGAGGGGACAGTCAATCGAGTCCAGCTAAACTGTTTCGTCATCAAACCCGCTTTTCCAAACCGCAAGCTGCCAGTCATGAAAACCCGCACGCAATTCGTGATTAACTTTATCCATATTTGTAAATTTTAGTGCCAAAAAGTTTTTTCAAACCGGTGAAAAACACTCACTGCGAGGGTGTGTTTAAAGAATCGCGTTACGAAGAAAGGTTTGTTTTGTAATCAAACTTATACCAGCAATTATGTCAGTGATTATTGTGATGTCTAGCATAGAACGGCCTTTAAACTACTGCGTATCGCTGGTGTACATAGGACTCAAAGGATTTTGTTATATTTAATGATGTAGAGCTATTTTTCAATCTGATTTATTCTTGATATAAAATCCCAACGAAAAGCAAAAGCGATTAGTTTTTCTAAGACAAAATAGAGATTGTGTACGTGATTGTGTGTATGTTTTTATTCACACGTTTTTTACACCACTTAGCGGTTTAGATGTGTAGACCTGATTTACATATGCTTTTACGAAATAAAATCGAACTGATCGTACTTTTTCATGAGGCCTGTGTTCTTCGTGTGCAGTTTGTTAGGTTTTTCTGCGAAGTGCATTGTTTTGTTGGATTAGATAATCTATCACGCACCTTTTTAGGTGAGATTTACGGGTGTGCGACGATCACAACGAGTTTTTCCAATCGTTGAAGGGTTAATGCGACCACAGACACTGAAAACTTGTGTGAAAGCGAATTTTAATGGGAAGAATAAAAGAAAAACAATGGCGAGGCTAGAACGTAAGATAAAACGTGAGAAATTCCACAGGTCCCCAACAACGGAATTAGAAGAGCTTAAAACCAGCTAGATCTCTTTATTGGTTTCACCCCATCGGTAATCCTATAACTGATGTCTCTGTAGAAACTAAGCAACGGAAAAAGCAATTTTTTTTCATTTTTCGAGTTAACAACATTTACGCAAAGCACAGCAGGCACGAGGGGACCTTCCTTTGGATCTGCTGGCACTTCTCTCGGTGTGGTCATCAGTGATGATATCTGCGCGTGCCGCAAACCACTTGGGTGAAACCTTGATAAGGCGGCTGATCATTTCATCAACGATGTTTGCGGCGAACCAGTTCGTGTGGTTTCTACATATGGGCGGTGGAAATACGAGTATCACATTTTGCGTTGAAATCTTTTCTTCCAAATTCTGATCGTTGGTTCTCTATTATCTATCTCGCTAATTTCGTGCCTTGCAATAGGCTGATGTTCTAACTCGATGTTTATTTTGCCCAATGGAAGGACAACAGTCGAAAGAAAAAATTTTCTTATGGTTTTTGCAACATATCTCTAGTACTAAGGTCACTACACCTACAATGCCCCCAATTAAAGTGTTTCTTTCCAAAAAAGTGACCAACTGATTCGTGTAAAGATTCAAACGTCTGTTCAAGCACTTGGTTAATTTCGCAAGACCAATTTTCAAACAGCCTTTTTTCGTACCTCTTCTATCATAGCCGTTATCTTAGGAGAAAGGTAAAGTTTCATCGCACAGGGTGGAAGAGCATTCGTGTTCTGTTTTCAAAGATAGTAAAGAGGAAATCTAGTAAGGGAAGGAATCTAGCAAGGAAAGGAAATGGAGTTGGGATGTGGTCACAACAATGTTTTTGATAGAGGTCGCTTGTTGTCGCCTCTTTCTTAGAAACATTACATCAGTTTCTACTCCAATTCCCCTTTTTCAGTTTTATTTGGGCTTTTTTGTAATCCAGCTGCTACAACACTTACGTAGAAGGAAATTTATAGATGTGAATCACCAAGGACTTGAGGTTGCTTATGTACAGACACCTCAAGGAACTCCCAGTTGGAGTGTGTGTTATACTCTCACGTCTGGAAAGCAGAAGTAAAGGTTGCTTTGAGAAACAAAGATTCTTTGATATGTCACGGCATTTTACAGAGTTGTTCAGTGCTGATTTGTGATAATCATACTTTCCAATTATGCCACTCCCTTGTTGCACATTCAAATCAATCTTGGTCGTCTATTAGTTTGCTGTAATCCTTCGTCGCGACTTAAAATCCTACTTAACGATTTTGCTCATTCTTGTTTTTTTGGGACACGACATGATACTTCCAGAAATGTAGACTATGACGCAAATTTTTGGTTCAAGCGTTTCCCTTGTGAGTTTTTAGGTTTATTTACATTCGCAGACCACAAACTTCACTCACTTCTCGGAGGTGCGTCAGTAGCCCTCATAATTTGATGCATTTCCCAGTAGAAAATGTTTTCATTCTGCAACAGTCAAAGCATTGTTAAGTGACGCTACAATTTTAAGTGGCCGTCTCTCTTTTTAATATATAAATATCTTTGCACTCTTTTGTCCTTTAAAAAAAAGTTGTTTTTAAGTTAAAACGACGTTAATGACGTTAAGCAACTGCAATGAATACAATATTTTATACACTTATTAACTTTGCGGCGCACAAACTTTAGGAATAACTTGTAAACCTTCCAGTTTGCAGATTTATCATTAAATTTTAGACTTTGTATAGCTTTAGAAAGCCAAATTATCGAGGTTCACTCTTAATCTTGGTGCCAGATAAACAGAGTTAGTGTACCGGCTTATTACTCAGTACTAAGGGTAAATCAGTGATCGTGAAGTCCAAGTATTTCATTGCATGAGGCACATTCGTAGTCTTAAAGCTGAAATGACAATAAGATCGAGTTATTTTGAACTTAAATAACAAAATATTCATAGCTGTGTCTCATATTTTGTTAAAGAGTGGTTAATTTGAACATCGAGTCTTTATATAGGTTGAGCTGGTATTGAACCATTCAAGAAAATGCCAGTGAAGGTTTTGTTGTTCACGGACCAAATTGTCCTTGTCGCTTAGCAAACAACACCACATGAAAGCACCTGGTGGCAGCCTTAATCGGATAGTCACAAGGCCGGATTTTAAGCATACAATTTTTCTTATTTACCAAGAAGAACCTTCCTGAACATCCTAATTAATCGTTACCTCATGGAGCTGCCATTTGTTGGTTTCCATACAAAATGATAGTGAACAGTGATTTCCAGATATAATTTTACTTGCAGAATCTGTTGTTTTATGTAGTTCTAGTGTAAAACCATGAGACGTTTGTTTCTGCATGAAATTCTTTATTTGAATGTTAGTATACAAGAAGCAGAATTGCAACACTGGCTGAACAAATACAGCAGAATAGAATGACATCAAGAGACTTGTCCAAAGATTATACTAATATTATTGCAAGTTTGTCAGAGCTCCTTTTTCCACCTTAAATGTTCTCCTTCGACTATTTTATTTGGAAAGTTTTTCCAGTAGAACCAATTTACATTAACCGAAAATGAATTCTTTTTCTCATTTCAATTTGCCCTTATGGTCTTATTGGTGTTGCAGATCTTAATTGGTCGTAATTCCTACATTAGTGATGCTTGTTTCTCGCCAATGTTTGTTATTTCATGCCTAGCAGTGTTGCTCAATTTCTACTTGAATCAGTTCACCGAGGGGCACAAATAAACCCTATTTATCCGCAAGTATACACAACTAATTCTTAAGTATTACAGGTTTAAAAAACCATCTTGTCTTTCGCTTCCGTTTTGTCCGGGCTTCAAATCTTTCGTATTCTTGAAAGGAAATCCGTACACATCGAAAAGACGATCCAGTAGCGACGTCTTTCCTCCTGTTGGAATTTATTTTTGTGGAATTTTTTGCGAAGTAACGTATACGTGCACATTTTTGATCTGCAAAGAATGTAAGAAGCCAATGCCTTGTAATAATCTGAAGTCATCCTCCTCAGGAATTTCAAGGATTTGAATCAGCCCCAAGCATAATTTAGATCGTTTTGATTTCACAAACTGAGCATTTGTGAGCATCATTTTACATCGAAATATGGCAAACCTATAAAGACGGTGATATTTTCGTTTCAAAAAAGAAGCATGCCAACTGGCTATCGTGAGTGTTAGCTCTTAGCTTTTAAGAAGACACCTGGTACGTTTGCGGTTTGTCTGTGTTAAAATCTAATTTTATGTACAAGGACAGCTCCAGGTTACTTTACAGAACAATCAACATCATTGAAGTGTTTTCCTCTAACAAGCTTACCTCGTTAAATTTGCGTTTAAACCTCTCTCGTTTGTTTGTCGTGCTAAGTCGTGTCTGCGTTTTGTAAGGGAGAGTTAATGCGGTGTTGTCGTTCGGTTGCTGTAAAGCGGTAGATTAGATGCACATTTTAAGATAACGTCCTGCCGAGCACTCATTCCATCGTCTCCAGAACAGGTCGGCTTATGACTCGCTAAGTTGACGATCTAACAGCGGTTAGTCTATGAAGAATTCTGCTTTTTTTCTTTTTTTTCGCTGACCGAAGAATCACCAAGCTCGTTTTCTAAGCAGGACGTTTCCCCTGTAGCAAACCTTCATTGTGGGTTTGTATACCGAATGAACTACTTGTCGAGTTGAGTGAATCCAACGGGTAGGATTTGTGCCAAGTTTATTTGTAGAGCAAACATAGTCCAAAGTGCTACGAAAACAGTGTAACAGACTTAGCTCTCCGCTATCTATTTTGACTGCTCCCTTGTTGTTAAATAAGATCAGTGAAGATAGTCAACAGATGAACATGTTTTATTGAGAAGTTTGCGAAGGCTTTCCGTAGGTTTTCGATGTAAAAGGAACCTCGAACTGATCTAATTTTGTTCCTTGCCCCGGGCTTTTTTTTCGTGATGGAGATTTTGTGAGCCGAAATTAAATTGGGCTCGTGCTCTCAGGAATATTGAAATACACAGTTTATTTTAGCATCGGTCACTTCAGCTCTTAACTTTGTTCTTAAGGAAAGTAAAGAGACTGAAAAAAGTGAAGTACATAATTCTACACGCTTTGTTCTTTAGCTTGTGAACTAATTTAGTTTGAAGACCTTCCCTCTCAATGTTGGAGAACTCATTATTAGGAAGGATTTACAATGTACGGTGTCAAATGTATTTGTAACCTTGAAAGTTTGCGTGTTCCGTTGAGCCTGTAAAC